ATCATCATCCAGTGCTTCTTCATCAGAGTCTTCCTTCTGGTGTGAGAAACCTTGTCCAATAGCTGGTAGATTTCCAGTGTCTTTCTTGATAGTTGTATGGTTGGCCACATGCATCTGCACATTGACTTATTCCAATTCTTTCAAAGACAGGTTCTGAAAATCTGGCATAATGACATTGGCTGCCACCTCTCCAATTTCTGAAAATGGATTGCTGTCGATCCCCATGGCCTTTTCAGCTTTGGCTGGGAATTTCAAACTTCCTTTCCGAATTTGTTCTTGGATCCTGTCTCGAAAAACAATACAGTTCTTAGTCGAGTAAGACCAAGAATTATGCCATTTACAATATACTTTTCCTTTAAGTTCATCAAGAGATGGAATTTTAACTCCTTTTGGTAACTTAAGGAAATTGACCGCAATCAAATGATCAAAAATGTCATCTGCCTTAGTTAAATCGAAAGAGTATTTCCTGTGAAGGTCTTTCTTTTTAAATTGCTGGTCAATTGTTGTATCTTATGAATTAATGCTTCACAGATCACAGGTTCCTTCCTCACAATCTCTGCTGCATCGATCTCATAATTAGGATCTCTATAATATGTCTTGTACGATGCATTATTTCGATCTTGTTCCTCCTCTAGTAATGCTTCGTATCTAGACACCTTATAAGTGAGTTCCACTAAGTCTCTGAACTCAGTTGAGTCAAATTTCTTTCGAAGCCTAAACTCTAAGCCATTTTGAGCCAATCTCACGAATTCTGGCTCTGGCAGAATGACTCTACATTTATTTCGAGCCCTTTTAAATCTGAAAATAAACTGAGTGGCCTTCTCGTCAGGCCTTTGACTCAATCTTGCCAAGTCTGCCATGGAAACCTCTAGCTCCGATTGGAAGAATTGGGCATGAAATGCCTCTTCCATTTGTTGCCAAGTTTGGATAGAGCCAGGTGTAAGGCTAATATACCATACAAATGCTCCCCCAGTTAGGAAATTTGGAAATAACCTTAACTTCATATAGTCATTATTAGTAAATTCACCGCATTGAGCAGCAAACCTAGCAATATGCTCCACTATTGATTGGTTTCCATTCCCATAAAAAAAGGTAAAATCTGGTATCCTGAAACCTCTTGGGTAGTCATGTACTCTGTCCACCCATTTTAGGTATGGTTTCCTATACACTGGAGTCTGGACCCCCCGAGCCATTGGTCCACACATCTCTCTAACAATGTCAGCAATTTCCTTGCTGAACCACTACTGGAGGAGCAAACACAGGATTTGGTGGGCAAACTTGTGCTTGTAGTCCTCTTGGTCCATAAGGTAGTATATATGGGACTGGTTGTCCCTGTGGTACATGTTGCTATTGGGGGTGTGGGTAACCCTTTTGAACCTGTCCTGTGAAAGGACCTGTGAAAGGTGCTGGAACTGGTGTTGTGTCCCTTCCATTTGTAGGAAAACCTTCCAACCCTCCGGGTATAAATTCGAATAAGGGATTAGTGAAACCCTTTGTGCCAGGTATGGCTTCGAACATGGGATTTGGAACCATTCTTATGCCATTTTCTTGTACTGGGCCAGATCCACCAAATTGCATGGCTTCACTGTTAAATATGAAGGCATTTTAACCTGCTATAGGCCTCGGAATAGGTTCGTACCAAGATTGAGATGATGGTCTTTCATAGTTCTGATTATTAGTTTGACCATTAGAATGTCCATTAACTTACATAGGCTGTTTATCTCTAGCCAATCTTTGCTGAGGGACATTCGAAACTTCCTCCATGTGTCTTACGTTTGTTAGTTAGTGGTTATTTATTCGATCAAAAAAGGATGTTGCCCACCTTTTCATTGTGTTCATTAATTGCTGTCTCATTGCATCTATTAAGCCACCCCATGGGTTTATTGGCTGAGTAGATGGAACAGTGGATGTTCCAATTCCTTGGTCTCGTCCAATATTACGAACATGTAGTACTTGTTCTGAAGTACTGGTCTGTTCGACTATAGGTTCTGATAAAATGGGAGTTTCCACAAGATGTGTTATCACATTATCCTCTGGATTAGGTATCTCTACCTCTCCTTCCACGCCTTCTTCCAAGCGTTCATTTTCTCCTTGTCTTCTACGTCTAGGCATTTCAATTAGTCCCACCGAGTGTGCCAAAAATATATGTTGACTTTTTTGACTTTTGAAGGTTATTATTGTAATTGCGAGCGTGCCAGCAAGGATCAATCAGTCCTTACAGAAAATTAATTGCCAACCAATTATCAGACGATTGTGTTTTAGTTCTTTTAGCCTCAATCAAGAGGACTTTTACTGGTAGCTTGATTTAGGGGAATTAAGCAAAATAAAAATTAAATGAAGAACAGTTGAAGTATTTCATTAAAGATGAAAAACTTACAATGATCAAAACTTAGCCTCGTAGAGGTTTACAGCAACAATCTACTTGAAACTACTCCTATAAATAAAGTGCAGTGCAGGAATTTAAAGTATAGGAAATGTAAGACTGGAAATATAAAATTGGAAAGGAAAATAAGTATAATAAGACTGGTTTTTGGATCTGAGTTCAGGGGGCTTTTCAGGGGCCTTCTTTGTTATTTATACTGTTCAAGGATGACCATCGAACTGTATTTCTAATTGTCGAACTACTCCTCCATGATCGCTGATCATGTTGCTTCAGAATTAGCTCCATTACGCCATTATTTGCAGTTAGGCTTCCCTCCTAAATTTGAATTTGAAATGTGAGTAACCGTTGAAGCCACATCACCTTGCATTTCTTTGTTGATCCACTGCTACTCAGATATCGTAATAACCAATACTAATTGCCACGTGTACGATCAGGATCGAAGACTCGAATTGTAATTGGCTTGTACAAAATATGTAACCAA